CCTATCAAATATAAAGCTTAAAATTTATATAAAGGATTGTCATCTCACAAAACACCTAGTGAGACTCACTTCTCAATAATATATAAGACTTCAAATAAGAGTAGCTAAATTAAAAGAGCACAGCCTTGTTTGCAACTATTAAGGTGATACATAGCCTCCAGCTCGGGAAGCTCTTAAATGCAGGCTACTGGGTGATTGAAGGACAAATCAGATTAGGAAATGATGAATCTCTCCTATTTATTTTTTTTCTGGCAACCATTCATTCCTCGTCTGATGAAAATAGACACGTACTTGATCTGACATAGTGTGGCAGTTGCACGCTTGATTCAGGAATATGAAAATTATTTAACTTGTGTACACATATCTTAACACTAATGTGAAGGTTTCCAGCTCATCTTGATCTGTGATCCTTCTAAGAAGAGTAGACATGGGCTACAAAGACTGTGGTTGGAGGACCTTGAGTTGTGGCAAGAGAAGCATGATTTTTTTTTTAATCCCTTTTTCTGCCCATGGCCCATCATCTCCCATGTGGAAGGGGTATGGAGGTAGCAGGAGGTACTACTACCTGATGCTGGGTCTGAAATTCTGGTCTTTGAATTCAAGAAGTCAACCATAGTTTTCTAAAGCAAGAAGCTGACCATAGTTTCTCCCACATTTATCTGCTGCACTGTACAGCAAATTGTAGGTCCAGTGTGTGTATTGCTATCATCCCATATTGCCAAGAAAAGTGTTCTGAATTAGTGTATAGGGTGATTTTTTTTCAGATCCTGAAATGCATGTGTAAAACAGGCAGTTTGCATGTCTGCATAATTCCTAGCAAGAGCTGAGTTTGTCTGAAATTCATTCATTGGAAAAAATACTAGTCGCTAAATGACGGATGATACATCTGACTAATGCTTTATGGCAGTTTCTCTTATACATGAAATACACTTATGTATTTTATATCTTCTTATAGTTATGCTGATACACTATTGTCTATTAAGTCAGAGGCTTCATCTCAAGGCCAAGATTATTTAAGCTGGAATGATATTCAGAACTGCATTGACATGGTTAATATGCAAATTCAAGAAGAAAATGAAAGTAAGTAATTCTTCCTCTACGTTGCCCGCAGAGGTCATAATTTGGTCTTTGGTAGATGAGTTAATGTACTGAATGGCCTTGTTCAGAAATTTGAGGCTATAAAGTTATGCCAAATTTGTGAGCAAGGAAATGAGAGGACGGCTTTTAGACTGCTTGCTATTTCGGAGGCAGTCTGGAGTGCAGTTTTGAGAGCCTCTGTAAGAAACAGGCTGTTTGTGCCCTTCCCATTAGTGTTAATGTTTCATACTGGTAAGAGAAACTTCATATCACAGACTTATTGAAACTGGATTATTACTTCTAAATCTAGTCAAGTGGTTGTCATGGATCCATTTGCTTGCAAAGTGTGACTTCTGGCAGGGTGGTGTGCTGAGCCGTTTGACTGACAGAGCACTTTTTTGTTTGAATTGCTGCACTCACTAGGACTTGGAACAGACCTTAAGAAAGGTGGTCTTGCGTTAGCAGTGTAGGTCTTAGTACTAAAATAGCTGCACTTGGTTTCAGTGACATTGACCTCTGCCTGGGGATGGTTATTTGGGTCAGAGAGCAGAGGAAGAACAGAGATCTGTTTCCATAAGCAAGTCCTATGTCTACATGGTCTCTCTTTGGGACCACCTTAGAAAAATTGATCATTCCCCAAGCCTTATGATGATGTGTATCTGAGATGCCAGCAGGTGGGTTGTGGTGGGTCTGGGAGTGACTTGTTGAGAGACAATCCACTGCCAGCAGAGATGTCATCCCTCGCAGGTGATGGGGAAGCCCTTGGCTGATGTCTTTTCGGGGTGGCTTTAGCAACCACAAACAGCACATTTCAACACTGTTTAGGGGCAGGACAAAACTGATTTTAAACTGCTGAGACAAGTTTGAAGAAAATGAGTTAAGGTTTTGCTAAATACATTTCACCTTATTACTTACTGACTGAAGTACTGAGTGCCACCGGTCAACATTATAAGATTGGCTGTTTAAGGTGAAATCATAAGAAATGAGGTTAAGCTGTTATGTAATGCTGTAGCTAGGAGTGCAGTATGTATGTATTTGTTCAAATCAGAGTTTCAAGTAAGCTGGTCTTAAACTACTTGAAAATAAGTCTTTCAGTGCTGTGAGCCAATATGTTGGTGAATATAAATAGATGTGAGACCTGATCTTTACTTAAGCTTCATGTAGATACTTCTGCCCAGAAAGTAGGGAAGTCTTTTTTCCTCTTTTTGTCAAGGATCATTTTGATTTTTATGAAGATTCAGGTTTGATTCAGGTAAATCAATAATTGTGGCAGGAAGGAAAACTGTACAACATAATAGCTTCAAGTGAATCTTAGAGCAAAAACAATTTTTAAGTCAGCTGCTGTTGCTGCCTCTGCTTCTTGTTATGTGATTTTTTCTGTTCTTTGTTTTACTGCTTTGTTTGTACCTGATATCAGGTAAGTTGCATCTTTCTTTGATAAGTACATCCTTAATAACTTTTCTGTTTCATAGGAATCATTGCAATTGGCCACATTAATGAAGCAGTTGACCAAGGAAATCCTGAGAAAACTCTAGAAGCCTTGTTGTTGCCCACAGCCAAGCTTCAAGATGTGAGACCAGCAAATGCAAGGCATTATCAGGATATTTTGCACCATGCCAAAGCACAGAAATGCAAGGTTAGAGTTTTCACTGTTGTTCTTCGCAGGAATTGAAATCCCAATTCTTTTCACTTGCATCTGTGTTCCTGTCCTGTTCCCCTGATGTTTGGATTAGCTGTGCCAAGGGGTTGCAAATAAGCCTATGACAATAAACTGGCACTAATTAATTTTGCACTACAACTTATTCTGACTGGCAAAAGGGATTAATTCTCAGTGTAATAATACTAAGACATATTCTGCATATGTTTTGCTACTGACTTGATGTAACCTCACTTATCTTTAATTCTACTAGGTTGCTGCAGCTGACCATACAAAATATGGTCAGCAGCAGTCCTGACATATTTATGAATTTGTGCAAGGATATAGTTACAGGACTGTGTCAGGCAGGTAGCTACAATATGGAAGGGAATTGAGGCTTTTGCCAAAAAGGGGTAACAGTAATGGTGTTCCTTAACAAACCTTTGGGAAGTACTTTGAGGAGTCTCTGTGACTTAAGCTCTTTTACTGTAGCGGGCTTCTGTACATATTTCTGTTACAAATTTATCATGTAAGAACAAACTGACAGTCTTGTACGTGCCTTCAATTTAAACTTATCTCAGCAGGATATTGCTATCTGCTTCCCCAAAAGCAGTGGCCTGGTTAACATTACAGCTCAGGAAGCATAAACAAAGATCAGCCTAACAGCTTGCAGTATGTGACTGAACACAAGCTTAGCTAAAGCTACTAGCACAGCACCTAAAATGTCCAGTGTTTGGAAAAGATGCTTAATATTTACACAGCATGACTCTAAAAGTAATATGGTCAGCTGGAGAAAGTCTGCAAACTTTGACTAGTAGAAATATCTTCCAGCTATCTTGTTACCTCACCTGTGGTACCTGTTGTGAAACTGCGTGTTTCTGTACTCCGCTGTCAGAGTTTCGAAAAGGTGTTTGCACAAATCAATTTCTTGCCTGGGTTCCCAGAAAGGGCTGGTTTCATTGAGCCCTCAGTGCTGAAAAGCTTTCTCCCTTGCCATGTGTGCTGGGGAGGGTTTTGTGTGTGCTGACTTTACGTGTCCTGGCTGGGCCAGGGTCAGTGTTTGTGTGCAGAGAGAGGTGTTTGTGTGCCCAAGAGCATGGTGGCTGCACAGTGCTGGCCCAGGATATACCATGTCCATGCACAGTAAGCCAGGATGCCTCCGAGGCAGAGAGCTAGAGCCCACATGCCTGCACACAGCAGCCCTGCCCTGTTTTTTTCTCCCAGATGCAAACCTGTTGCCTACTCCTGTCTCTGTGTGAATGTGCTGACAGGAAATAAAAGAGTGTTTCAAAGTCTTGGAACCAAAACTGTACTGTCTCGTTGAAATCTCCTCACTCCAAAATTTATGATATTCCAAGAGGCTTCTGCTAGCCTTTCTCTTCTGAACTATTTTGGTTTTGCAGTCTTTTGACAACTACTAAAAACATCCCCCTGTGGCAATATTGCTCCTGTTTCAGAAGAGAGCAAGACACTGTCCTCCTAAAAGAAATACTAAGATACAGACTTACTCTTTATGGTGGCTGATCACTATTCTTTAGGTAAAAGATGATTTAGATGGAACTTTCCTTAAAAAAAAATTCAAACACAATTGAAAAGATAGACAGATTTCAGAAATTGCACTATTTCCCACTTTTTCTGATCTCTGTTTATAAAGCAAATCTGTCTTTAGTTGCATTTAGCATATTCTAAGAGTGACCTGTGGTAAAAGGGAGTGTTTGATTTACAAGGATCTAATAGGTTTCCCTGTAAACTTCCTGTGTTCCCCAACATCTGGAAAAACATATGGGTCAAACTTTCTCACCTTAAGCAGCTTGCTGTCACTGCTCTGTAGCTGTGGGGGCTTTGGGGAAGTAGAGTCTGTACCCAAATCTGCCAGAACCTGTTACAGGTTTTAATCTCAGGTCTGTCCTATTTGCTCCTTGCTTGAAACTGAAAACGCAAACCTGGAACTTATCTATTCCTGTAATCTTAAACCACAACTTTTAGCAGTTCTGAAGACCTTTTCAAATCAAGTATATTCCCAGTGAAGAGAAACCTTCTGTTTAGGGAATGTAGTATGGATAACCGAAAAGTTAAACAGATGTACCAAACTCTGAAAGGGTTCCTGTGTTTGGCTGTGGATTTTTTTGAGGGATAGGAACACGGGTTTAGTTAGCTTTATTTTCAATAGCTTTATAATATTTGAATTATTTTAAAGTTATCTTTAAAGTCTCTTCGTGTGCATTTTGAAGGAATGGCAAGATTAAAACTAACTTAAATTAGGAGCCAGAAGAAATTAAAGAAGGGAGAGTCTTACCAGACTGCAAATTCCCTTGAGACATTTTCCAGTGCAAGCTATTTTATTTAAGTAAAGTTTACAGTACTATTATCAAACCAACATAAAACATTTTTCTCCTCCCTGTCTTACATGCTGCAGTTACAAATGCAAACAACAATCACTGAGCTCATTTTGTAGGAACTTAGTATATATGTAGCTTTGGAATCTGTGTAAGAGTAAAAGCTGACCCTTTGTTTTACTAAAGTGGACAATCAATCATAACCAGTTGCAGTATTTGTAACACTGTAGCTATTTCCTGTCAGGATATGGAAACAGAATACTACAAAATAGCTTCCCCATTCTGCTTACCAAGCAAGAATAATACATGCCTGGATTCACACTGATAAGGGTTAGCTCCCAGCACTCCTTGTGGTCTAGGGATTGCAGGCACTGGCAAAGTGGAAGAACAAGTCTCCAGTGCAAAACTGGTTAAGCCGCCTCATAGAATGTTTCCCTGGAAGAGTCAGGCTCGGTATCTACAACTGTAGATTAACTGCTCCTTAAACCTATGTGGACTCTGGCTCTTTATTTTCAACATCCAGGGCAGTATTTGCTCTTGACTGTGTGTGAGAGAGCTTTTACAAAGTTTGACAGCTCCCAGGCATGTAAAAAGTGCTTTTAGTTGTTCCCATTTCCATTAGGCCCGAAACTTGTTTTTGTATCACTGTTCCTGCAGTGATGGTTGGCTGAGAGCTAATTTGAAGTATTTGGAAATCATGAACTGGCCTAAAAGTACCCCTCTTCTGGTGCTCGGAGGCTGTGGTGACTGATACCTTGGCAGCTTCTCCATGGCCTCAGAATGAAATGGATGGAGGTGTAGAGCTTCTTCCTTGAATCTAGGTACAAAGTTGTTGCAATACATGTGATAAAATTACAGCGCTGGAGAAGTGTATTTTTGGAGATACTTCTTGTGTGGAAGGAAGTATATTGTACTGAGATTGTGTTTTTTTAACACTTTTTACAGTTTAATTGTCACACCTGAGACTTATTGCTGTCTGTGTTAATACTTCACAAAGTCATAATTCCAGTAATAGAAATACAGGACTAAATTCATTTTTCCCTGTATATTTTAACCATTGTTAGATAAATATTGGATTGACTTCTAATTTTTGACATCAGAAAATAAAGGAAAGGATCAAGACAACTGTTTAAGCTGCTAAGACATAAAGCAATTAGATAAAATGAATACAACCCATCTGTGTTGTAATAGTAATAGTTGATGTGATGGACAATAAGGATAATATTGCTTGGCACAAAGCAAATAGCAAAGATGGTAAGGATCAAAAGACTGACTTTAACATACCAGAACCATTCACGAGTCTTGAGTGTTCGTATAATTGAGACATAGCAGAAAATGATAGTTGCAAGAGGTATCAAAAACCCAAATATAGCTAAAGAAACATAGTAGTAGAACTGGAAGGAAGATATTGTTTCACAGGCATTGTGCACGTCATGGCAGGTATAAATGCCCAGTTGCCTCACATAATAGCTTTGCTGCATGATGCAAAGTGGGAGCATGTACAAGAAGACAATGGTCCACACGGCAGTGCATGCTGCAATGGCATAGGCGCGCTTGGGAAGGCTCTTGTAGGTGAAAGGGTGAACGATGGCCATGTAGCGGCTGATGCTGATGCACATGAGCAGCAGGATGGAGCAGTACATGTTGCCATAAAACACCACTGTGGTAGTTCGGCACATCATTTCCCCAAATACCCAGTTGTTCCCGTTGATGTGGTATGCTATTTTGAAGGGTAGCATGATGCAAAAGAGCAGATCTGAAACAGCCAAGTTTGTGTAGAGGATGGCGGTGCACACAGAGCGGATCCTGAACAATAGCATCCACAAAGTGATGGCATTAGATGGCACACCCAGTAAAACAGCACTGAGGTAGACAGCAGGTATTAGCTTGGTGCTCAGAGAACTGGTCAAGTATTCCAGTGTGGTGTTGTTCACTTCTGTTAAAGTGGAGTCGTTTGACTTTTTTGAAGTGCATTTATTTTCTCCAATATGAATGGTTGTTGTTTCCCCTTCTATAGCATAAGGGGGGATGTAATCATAGTCTCTTGCTGAAATTCCACGGAAAGTCTTAATAAGAGATACAGTTTTAATTGCGGAGCCATTCTGTGAAAATTCTGAACCTTAAAAACACCAAATATTGTTAAAACCACAAACTACTAGATTACCAATATAATTCACCTTCAGGTACAGAGAGAGGAAGGTAAACATCTCCATGTGAAAAGTAATATATTTTTAAAAGATTTGGTGACACTCTCCTTTACTTTGGGTGTTCATATCAAATGTACTGAGAACAGTATTCACTTGTCATTTCACACCCAATGCTGAAAATGTATTGTTAACTTAGTGCTAAGCTGATCTTTCTGTGGTTTTGCATGTTTTCAGTAATCTTTGGTGAAAAAATATCAGACTCTTCCGTAATGTTTATGACCTGTAGAGGGTTTTTCCTCCAAAGTAGTAATGTTGTTAATTCTTCATATAGCAGCAGCCTTGGTTTAGGCTTGATCTGAATTTCCAAAGCAAACAGCATTTCCATCCTTGTCACTTCACATATGAAATGCATGACTGCAAAAGATGCAAAAAGCACTGTCTTGTCTAACACAGGCTAAAACTTTCAAACTAAAAATCTGAAATACCCTCAATTTTTTGGGTCTCACATATCAAATTAATGTTATTCTTCAGCTTCTGACTAAAGCAAACCAAATCTTTTCAGCTTCTTGTGCCTGAGCAAGGGCAGTTAGTTTTGAGAACTGACAACATATGCTTGGGCTGGTACTAGGTGTAAGTGAATAAAACTGGTACTGGTAAGTGAATAAAACTTTTCAAGAAGCAGGAAAATTTTCAGTGTGTATATATTGTTAGCATGTGGGCAAAACCAATAATACCACTTTTATTAAAGCCTGTTCTTCAGTCTTTAGTAGAGGACTTTGTAGAGACATTGATGTTTCCATATGAAGCACAAATGTGCCCAAAATGCTTTCTTAAACCCATGTGTTTTAAAATAAATTTGCAGAGTAAACAGCTGTGTAAGTAAAATTGTTTTCAGCTGTGTTTAATGCAAAAAGACTGTAAAGCTTAGAGCATGCGTCATGAAATTGGAATTCAGAAGCAAACTGAAATTTGGGTGAAAACCTGTGTATTTTTTTTAACCTTTCCATATTTGAACAAAATATGGAAAATGGTTTTATCAATGCTCACTGGCACATTCATGGTAGAATATTTTGAAATCATAATTAATAGACTCCATTCCTTTTAATATTACTTTTGACAGTTAATTAGTTTTTTTTGACAGAAAATTAGTTTTAACAGCTCTTTACGTCATATATATGTGCGCACATAGGCATGTATAAATATAGTTTGTGTATATATATATGATTTGAAAACAGCTTTAATTCTAGAGAGAAAAAAGAGATTTATGATTTAATGATTTCCTTTAGTTATTTTTATCACAATGGTTAACTGAGCATTTCCTTCTAGTAACACCATCTGTGAAGCTGTAAAACAAAACACTACAGAAATACTAGATAAAAGATGTGTCTTCAGTAACTGTAGTGATTTTATTTATTCACTTAAATAAAATTCTTTCTAGAAAATAACTGGGGGGACGTAAAACATCACTGAAATAAAAGAATAAAAATCTGCTTTAAATGAGACTTCCTAGAGTACAGTTTTCTATAATGTTACAGGTGCAACCTACTTCAGGTTTGCAGCTTCCAAAGACACAACATTATCAAAAAATCCATGTTATTAACTAAAATATGGAATAGATACAGAAAGGAGGACTCACCTGTTGTGCAAAGACTGGAAGTAAGAGAGAGCAGTCCAGTGAAAAACAGTATCTTCATTGTAGTGTGTGAAATCCAGCAAGCCAAACAATGGTACTGCCCTAGTTCATCTCGAGAGGTGCTTTGTGGGGGATTTCTTTCCCCTCTGTGAGTGACTAAAGAATGATTGATCAGTCCTGCAGAAGCATCCTGTAAGCATGAGGTTTATGGTAAGGAGCTAATTTGCCCTTTGTCTACCACAGCAAGAGGGTGTGACGTATCCAAATATGCACACATGACTCAGTTTCAGCCTCTGTCCAACACAGAGATAAAACTGCTTTACTGCAGCAGTTTAACTCCTAATTTACCATGAACCTGAAGCTTATGTGCAGGGTTCTACTGAAATTTGTACATACAGACATTTGGGGTAAAAAGGTGTTTTCTGGAAAAATCAAAGGGTGTGTTCAGTAAATCCTCAAGGGTCTCATCTAGAGAACAAAATGTCACATGGCTGAACTCTGTACCCTTCTCCAGGAAGAAGACAGGCTTGGAGATATGTGATGATCTCAGTTTAGCAAAGGCGAAGGTGCAAAGAAGCCACACATACAAACATGCCTTAAAAAAAACTGTGTTCTGCTTTGCTTTTTGCCTCCACACCCACTGTTAGCTATCTACTTCCTTAGATCTAGCTACTGGCTCCACTCAGACAGTTCCCACTCCTCCACAGCCTGCAGCCTCTAAAACCTTTTCCCTATTTTCGTCTGCTGTTTTGCTCATCCCTTTCTTTTTCTCTGCCTGTTTTTTGTTTGGTTGGTTTTTGGTTTTGGTTTGGTTTTTTTTCTCTCCTCTCCCTTCCTTGAGTGGCAAATAACAATGGCTTGTTTCAGCAGGTAAAATTAGCCCAAGTCTTGGTCTGACTTCCAAACTAGTTGTGAGGCTCAGCATAAACTGTACTTGGCTGCAGAGAAGTATTTGTGTCTGTTCTTGTATTTAATGTGTAAATGCTTGTTACTAGATAAGGAATTCTCTTCAGTTTCTCAATCCTCTTTTCAAAATTGTCAGCTGTAGTTTAGGAATTTATTATGTGCTCTCTCAAGTGTTAACTGTAACTCTCGGTAGAAAAATGTGCAGTCCACTGTCCTGTGATTGTCTGGCACTACTTGATGTCATTTATATATTCTGTTACCTTGTTTATACGTAAGATACAAACTGAAGAGCATGTCTCTAGGGTTTTCTACCCTGTTTTTTCTTGGTAATTTCTGTGGATATCAGATTTATTGGATCTTTGGCCTGGAGATAAAACTAGAGGTATTCATTGCAAAGCTGGTTCTTTTTCCACAGTGTTTTAGTTTGGCTGGGATTTTTTCATAAAATATTTGTGTATATCCTGGATCTTTATCAACTGATACATTAATTTCTCTCATCATTAGTCTATTATAGACCTGGCACCTCTATTTCTCTTTTACATGAATTTTCCCCCCTCCTATTGGATTAGATTTTAAATGCTACTTTAGCTCTGAAACCCTATTCTGTCTGCTGAAGTGTTGGTTCACCTGTGAACCTGGGCAGGAGGGTTTGTTAGTTGGGATGTACAGCCCAGTTTCCTGCACTTTCTGTTTTAACTTGGTTTTAATGTCATGCACTGTTAGCCTGTAAGAAGAGTAATAGCTTCTCTACTGCTTCAGAAATGTTTGCCATTTGAGATAAGTCTTCATTACTAAACCTAAGTTGTCTTTCTATGTCAGTTTTCACTGTTATTTTCTAATGTAATGTGTACTGAGGTTTACACAGGGATCCTTTCCAAATAAGGGATTTTGAAAGAAAGCCAACTTCCTTCAGTCTTCTACTATGTTCTCTCTATGCTGCTATCATAGTGCTGCCTGAGAATGTATGGGTTCATGTGACATTCAGACTACTTTGCCTGCATATCATGGAAATTAAAATGTTTCTATCTTTGTCAGAATTTTTATTGATCTTTAGCAGGATGAATTCTGTCAGCAGAGTCAGTACAGCACATTCTTCAGAGGAGCTCTAAGGTTTTGCAGATAAAAACTGAGATTTAAATAAATTCTTCTATTCTTCTATACATCAAAACTTTCAGAGCATTGTATTTGAACAGGAGCTTATTCAAGTCAGTAAATAGAATAGGAACGCATTTCATTGCTGATTTTAAGCAGACAAATTCTTTTTAGTGTCCAGGGGCTTTGCAAGTGGAGATTGTATGTTAGAGCTGTATCAGTATGTTCAGACAACTCTTCTTATAATTCAGTTTTTTCAAGGCTTTTTTCTATCCTTTTTTCCAGGAATCCCAAGATGAATCAGCACTTCTGTGGCTAGATGAAATACAAAGAGGAATCAGTGATGGCAATAACAACATAAAAGAAGCAGCAATTGGTAAGTATTAACCTGCATCTGCACTGCTCTTGTTTTTCTTAGTCTTGAGAGATTGAAATTGGTTATTTACTTTTTCTACTTCAGGGAAGGGTGGAAGACCTTTAAATACGTGAAAAGAAATGAATGCGTGTTCTTTGTTATACTGAAATTGGGATGATTTAGAACTACAGGGGTGGTGTTAGTTTTATCTAAAGTGGTAATATTTAAGGCTTGGATTACAATTCAGTGGATTTGGTTATACAGGCTAACATCATGACCAAGATTTCTAATGTCAGTGTATCTTCACGTAACTCCTGAAACATCTGAATGAGAATGGATATGCTGTTCAGAAGCTTATTTTTCTTATGACTAAAATCTTGATGCATATTTTAAAAGCAAATATGAGTTTACAACTTTGCTTATTCATATTTCTTTATATTGTCTTTTATGAAGTGCTAACAAATACTAGGAACATATTAACTTTAGTGTAAAAAGAGCACTCATTTGTTTGGGGTGAACTACACGCTCTTCTAATCTGAAAGGAAGAGGAAAAATGAGGCTTATCCTGTCAGGGTATTGTATATTGAATCCATTCAACACCTTCTGTCAAAGTGTATGTATTATTATACGATATAATAAACTTTGGCAAGTAATGCAGATGCGTAGCTGGGTATATGGGGCACACTGGAGAGCACGGTGGGATGCCTGCCTGTTCCTGCCTAGGGCCAGCACAGACCAGCGAGGCACTGCATATTGGTTAGCCTTCTGCTTGACTCGGCTTTGGGTGAGTCAGTGTCGCCTTCTTTTGCACCTTAGGAGCTTGTGAATACAATTGCTGAAGTCAGTGCATTCCTGGAGCACTGTGCTCAGCCGTCCTTAGTGCAGTGTGGCAGCCTGTGTACTCACAGGCATGTCAGTAGTTAGTGCTTGGGAAGTTGTGGGTGGAAGAAAAGAAACAGAGCTAGCTACTATAAATAGCTATCCCTGTTATATAAATGGATACTAAATAGAGCATTGCATTTTGCATTACTATTACTTTAGAACTGATTTAAACAATACAGTCTTCATGTAACAAGTCAGTTATACTGAAAATAGTTAAAATATTTATGTAGGTCACACATCCATAGTTGAAAGCACCTGACTTGTGTTTTACACACACACACACACACACACAGACATTGTCTCAATCAGGCTCTTGTACTGAGGAGTACTGATACCTTCTGTCATGGACAAAACCAGCTTCCTATCAATGCCCCCCAGAGCCATGAGGAAACATCTGAGCGCATGGAAGGGAAGGAAATGTGTAGCTTATAAACAAATGTGAGTTAAACCTAAAGAGCAATTTGAAAACATCCTCATTTGTGTTCACTGGTGTAAAAGCATTAAGAATATATATCATAAACAGCACAGCATAATTCATATACCAATACTACACAATGTTGCTAATGATAAGCCATTGCTCCATCCACCACCTAGCTGTTGTAGTAAAATCTTTTCATATAATCTGTGCTGGCAGTACCTGCACAGTTTTTCACAATCAAGGATGCTCAGTGGAACTGTTTTAACATGTCACATGTAGAAAAAAACCTACTAATCTCCTGTACTCTGCCCTCTGGGTTGAAAGGAAGCACTGTCAGCACAGCACATTCTTCAGAAAAGCTCTAAGGTTTTGCAGCTAAAAACTGAGATTTAAGATTTCCCCATGGCACAGAACCTGATACTTCCTGTAACAAATGCATCCTGTTTCAGGAAGTTTGCATATTGCGTTGACACAGTCTAAACTGAAAGTTCAACTTGATCACAATTTCGAAATGGACTTTTAATTGATCTATCACAGAGGTACTATTTTTGAAAGGCAAACAACTTCAAACCTTTTGCAAGGCAGTCAAAAAATTGTTTTTCAGTCAAGAAACTATTTTTGAGATTACTGCAGTAGTGGCAATAAAATAAGCAGTAAAATAAGAGAAGGTACTGGCAGCTGTGCTGAAACAGTCTTGATCACTTCCAAACTAATTTTAAAATATTAAATACTACAGTCTTAAAATTTTAAAAGACTTTTACAGTTTTTCCTGTCAGGGAAAGGGCTATATGTTGTATTTTTATTGAGGAAGAAGTGTTCAGTAAATGCTGGTGCATTTCCTAATTCTTTGCAGTGCTTTCTGTATGATTTGTATCACCCTACTTCACTTCTTGAATCAGTTCAACCATTGTACTCCTTATCTAAGTGGGGGACAAAATGGAATTGGCCAAGTATCAGAAATAGACTTGAATACCGACTTTAGTCTTACACAGGAAGAGTCTGTCTGTCATGGGAGAGACCAAGTTATAGGAAAAAGCTGATCATTGGCCTTGTTGAGAGTTCAGGCTCATCACAGCAGACAACTGCAGCTTTGTATATCAGAGCTGTTTGAAGGGAGAATGGGTGTAAGAAAGAGCCCTTCACAGGATTGATCTGGTACTGGCATCTTAACTGCTACAGAAGCAGACTAGAGCTTACAGTTCTTCTGCAGCTACGGATGGCTAATCTCCACTTATCTTATAATTTTCCAGGATCTACGTGGCCCTGCTCTAGAGCAACAGCCACAGTATTAATTGCTAGCACTTAAATAGAAAGGAATAATTTTCTGCTGAAATGAGTGTTTTCCCTAGCTTCTCAGTTTTCCCTGCTTTCTCACCACTGACCAGATGCCTGGGCATCACAATGCCACATCAGTGGGAGAAAGACATCTCCAGTCTCACAGGGAGCACATGTATGCTTGGCAGGGTCTGTTTCAAAGCACAGAAAAATAGCAGGATGCTATCTGATAGAAATTCAGACGATGGCGGTGTGGCATTGTGGCTCTGCTTTGTTTCTCAGCTGGCTGACTGTATTTTTAGGTTTATGAGTTAATGTCTAGCCAAAGCTACTCATTCCACCTTAGTCTGACTACCAATAAAGACAAACTGTTTCTCTAACTGAAATACTCTTCTGCTTGCTCAGTGTTGTGGGGTGACTCCTGTATGTAGGCTTTTGACACTAAGCACCTTCTGGGTCAGCTCTGTGTAGTGATCTGGATAGACACAAGATAACGAAAAGTGTTTAGTGCTGCAGCATGAAGTGCAGCTATGGATTCACTTAAGCCAGTATACAATGTGTATGTTCTAGATGTATGTCTATTCACT